TGAATTTAGAATCGTATTAGGCCTATTTTAATTATAATTTTGTGATGTTTCCCACCGTGATAATTTTGTAATTTATTGGTGGTGATTAGTTAATTACAGATAGGTTAGAAATCGTAAATCAAATTACCTCAAAAACTTGGCCACTACAGTATTTGTTCACACGTTTACAAGGAGCAATAATAACTTGCTCACTAAGGTCACTAACTACTCATTAGAGTTATGGCTTGCAGAATACCCATTCAAGCTGGTTTATTTAACAACTACACTACTGGTGTAGTAATTGTGCAAAGCTAGAAAACAAACATTCAAATTAAGTTTTTTTTCTGTTCCGTGTAGTACAATTTTTGTGCAATAGAATTCTCCTAAAAAGCAAAATATCCCTAGGATATATATATATATATATATATATATATATATATATGACTAAATGTTGTTCTAAGGTGTAGAACTGTAAAGGGCCGTCATTTTAGAATGCATACCTCAATCGTACGAGAATCGAAAAATACAAATCTATAGTATTTGTTTATAAAGACACATACTAACCTAAACCACAATCATTATGACATCACATTTTTGTTATTCTGAAACAAATAAAACCCAGTGAAGTCAGTTTAAAGTGAAATATATGCAATATTTAACATCAAAGCTACGTGTGGGCATTTAAATGGTCATGTTATGAATTGGCGATAAAAAATCATACAAAATCAACGGACGTCAAAAATACTATAACTGTAAAACCCTAAAAATCGTTGGTAGTTTTTAAATGGACACTTCAACATGAGCGAAACACGATGAGTTGAAACTCACAAACAAGATTAAATGAAAGTCAATTTGAAGAGTTAAATGGGATTGTGGGTAGGCAGTGAAGTCGTACAAGTTCAAGAATCAGTTACGGGCTTCTTACAGGGTGCAAAGTTCCTACTTTACCACCAAACCATGTGAAATTAAGAGAAATAAACTGTGTGTGTTATTTATTACTTTTATTCAGTTAAAATTTCAGTGTTTTTTTTTATTTTTGTTGCTGCAATCCTTGTGTAGTCCAAACTGTGTTTTTTAATATAAAAATTATGTGTAAATCATTAATAGGATAGTTAAATGAAATGGGCAACCTATAGGAGTAGATAGTTTTGTAAAAGTTAAAGGGGCGAGGGAACTTAGTCAAATGGAAACAGGAACAAATAAAGTACAACAACAAACAACACAACAAGGGAACAAGGGGGTGTTTTAAAGTACTAAGGAGAAAGAATTTCATACTGTACAAATAAATGTCACTGAGCATTTTACCACTAATCATTATTAAATTACCTAAAAAAACTCAAAATGTCGAACATTTTCGTATTGCTTTACTGAATAGATTAATATTTTGAGGAAATAAATTCATTATCCATATTATTATTCATTGTCCATTCAATATTCATGCACAATCATCTTCAAAACAATCTCTTTGATTGGAGAGATAAAATTGGGAGATGGTAAGCAAACTCGTCCTTTTCGTTTCCTTTCTTCCTGGTAAAATTTATAGATTTTAGCCTATTATAATTTGTTTGAATTTTTTTAATAAGCTCTTTTGCAACAATTGATATAAGAACAGATTGAAAGAGTAATTCACTATTAATCCTCGATATTTTACTCTAAACTGACTCGTTTAATGAGTATTTTTTGATCGCCAATACCATTTATTTGTCATTATGCTACAAGAACCTCGATAGCAAGTATATCTTGGATATCATCAAACAAGACTTGTTATCAAGGTTGACTTCTTATCGATGTATACAATTACATTTATTTGGGTAATATATAATCACGGAAATCTGAAAACAGCACTTACTATCAAGGGCCACTTGTAATCGAGGGACTTATTATTTAGGTTCCACTGATTGACTTATTCATGTTCAATTGAGTTCCACTGTCTTAATTATTGATGCTATCAGAAACACCAGGTTGACGTAAGATAGTACTCTATCAATGCCAATATTTACATTGCCCCTTTTCAAAACACTTAAAAATGCCAAAGACTTATACAAACCCTAATTGTAGGAGTAAATTAAAATCTCATTAAACATCAGATTGAATTTACTATATTGGAACCAGAACATACGTTTAATCGTAAATGAGAATAGTAGTTGTGTTTGCGCCAAACTTCTGTAAAATTGGCAAAGGTGGAAAGATGTGGGTAAAGTAGGAAACCTCACGGGCGACGGACGAGTACACGTGTATCTCTGAATCAATACAGAAACTCACCCCCTTTCCACCCCTTCCAACCACTTAGAGCGAGGGGGGGTTGCTACTCGCCCCTCCCTTGGACGAGAGATCAGCTCAAAACTAGGGCACGTAAAAATGCGGTGGGCAGCAAAGACAAGTGGAGAAAAACACTCATGAAAATCATTTAGAAACTCATTTGTTGAGTTGTGTGCGTAGACAAAGTTGTAATAATTACTAAGAAAATATTTTTATTACGTTGTAGATAAAATAAATCTTATGTAGAAATAATTATTAAGAATAATTAACTTATATATTAATAATAAAACTAAATTGTGGAAGAATTAGTAATGCTGTCCTTAAGCCACTAAAAGTAACAAAATAATCTTCTGTGGTGGAGTTGGGATTTTAACTAAGCAGGGAAACTGTGTAATAAATATGTATATAATTATTATATAAAAAATATATAATAATTGTTATATATATAAAAAATGCATAAATATGTTCTTAGTTTGAAAATGACTAATCACAAGTTATAAACCTTGTAATAAATTCAAAATATCTGTGGGCAAGAGGCCGTGCCTATTCTAAAACTATAACAAACTAATCAAAGATGAATAATCACAAATAAATATTTTAAAGGTCAACATTATTTACTATAGACGTTATTACAATCCGTTTACCATTTTACAAAAGCATGGCTAACATCGCGATATAGCATAGTTTTAAACCAAATTCATAACAATAATAGGTTAAAACTTGTCCTCTATTACAGTAAATATATATTCTACAAAATTACTGTATCCGTACTCGGGTAAATTGTACACGAAATAAAAATTACTTAAATATAATTTGAATTGCGCGCGTATGTACCTACCTTTGCTGTTGAAGGATATGGACTCAAAATGGAAGAGGAAATGGACGACACTACTGCATCCAAGCGGCGCGCGGCGACTCTAGAGTTCATAGGCAACCGAGTGAGAGAAAGGGAGTGGTTTCTTTAGTGCTATATATTCTATAGTGTATATAAACATTACCACGAATGAGGATGCGAGAAAATAAGTTTTACATAATTGTATGTACAGTAATCGAACGGAACATCGGCTCTTCGAACAATAGACAGAACTCAAGCCCTGCATTTTGGTGTCCATTTTAAGCTGAAGCAAGTGGACTACTGAACATATTCGTGTACAGTCTGCCTGTGTTTATATGTGGTAGGTATATTGTCCGGCTGTATTTGAGTGCAAGGATGCAAATTCAAAGAATTTATCTTATTTTAAGGTAAAATTCGCGATGGGATCTTTGGTCTTGTACTAAAGTAAATTTCAATATTTTATCAAAACAGAGTTTAGTTAGGTTAAAAGTAAAACACGTTCCAGGCAAAAGTATATCTAATAGTTTTCTTCAGCTTTATAAGGATGCCATATCCCTGATTAAAATTGAAAAGTCAATGGGAAAATTTAAAAGGGAGACTTTTCTATAGCTACAGTGGGCACCATAGCTTCTCTTCACAGAAATCAATTCTAAGGCTGAAAGGATTTTATTAATAGGAAAGGGGATTGAAGAAGGGGCTGGTTTACAACGAGTTTATAATCCCGTGTAGTCCAACCATAGATAAAACATCATACGCCCTTGTGTTCGACGTTCGTTAGTCTGTGGCCCAAGTATGATAACACGGCCACCTCTAACTACAGGCCGCGGCCTGGTAGAATTGGTAACTTCGTCGCAAGTGGTGTTGTCTAGTGCCAGACGTCCCATAAGATAACATGTCAGTCAGGTGACACCAGCTCATTATTTCACGTATTATTCATTAAAATTAAAATTTATGAAAATAAATTTATTGAAATATTGAAAATAAAACATATAGAATTGAAAACAAAAACAATACTTAAATAGAAAATCAATTTTTGTACTTTTAAAGTGGAGTCAATATTGTCATAGTCCAACCAAGCTTTCGTAAATACACAAATACCATTAGCTGCTGCCAAACTAAACAGCTGTTACAACACCACTTGTGACGTTGCCAATTCGAAGGCCGCGGCCTGGAGTTAAAGGCGGCCGTGATGATAATTGACAAAGAAGATAGTGCTACATATTTACACATGTGTATCTCGATTGTTAACCACGTTGTTTTCAAATGGCCCAATAAAACGTTTGAATACTAGAATATTATTGGATGCCTACATACTAAGTAAGTAAGTAGTAAGTAGACATCCCATCTATGTGGACCAGCTGTCGCAATTTTTAAAATGAATGTAGTTGTGTGACAATCACGGAATGACTAGTGTCTAAATTATATGTTCTTATTTTTTGTTGCTGAAATAGTTTATGGGTCATAAAAGTTGCTATAGATCGTAATAAGTCATTCCATATCAGATTGGCTTGGTAAAAACCATCGCGTATTCGACAGGAATTGGTAATTTAGATCTGTCGGTGGCTCACATCAACTACGACGAATTTGATTTAAAATTTGGCCACAACTTAAACGTTGGGTTTTCAATATAGTTCACTAGCTGTACCCGCGGGCCTTGCCCCGTTTAACTTCTTAATTTTCAAGATGAGCTCGTTCGCATGGCTCAATCACGTCTTGGTATTTAAGAATCGAATCTTAAAGGAATAAATTTGTTCCAGATCATAATCAATGACCTGACTCTGTTTACTCCAAGACATTTGTGCAGTTACCTATCCAGTGAACAAGCAAGACATTATCCAGGTAAAAAAAGTAGCTCCTTTGCTTTTTCTTCTTCTGTGATCATTTCTATTATTCTTTTTCGTTTCGTTTCGTTTGTCAAACGTTTCCTTTATTGTTGTAATCGTTTGAGGTTAACGTCGTTAAATTAACCGGTCCATTATTTATACAGATTGAGATTATATTACAGATTTAAACTTAATGTTGACTGAGTGTTGTTGCTGAAAGGTGAAAGAATATAATTTTCAAACATGGTAAGTTACGTATGATTAGTAATTATTTAACAATGACCTAATGTTTTGCAGATGTCCAAACCCTAGCCTAGATATACACTGGTTGCTGTAGATTTGTAAATTAATTCTTTATCCTAGTGTAATTTAGTTGTGAAGTAAGTTAGATGTTTTACACAGACGTATGTGAAAGTAATAGGCCTAAACCTACCTGTCATTAGCAGCCAGTTGTATCTTGCATCTGGATTAGGCTACTGTTAGGCCTTAGGCTACAGCCTAATTGGTACTTATTGCGACGAACGTGACCATAGGAACCTAGGCCTATATAGATTTATATATCACTAGAAACTAGATTTTTAGCTGAAAATAATGGTGCAAAAATTTTTCCGCGCACTCAAATATTAACGGAGTTACGGCTGTTTTAAGTTTTATTTAGGCTACCGGTACTTTGTTTTTTGACCTTTGAACCTATTTGTAGGCCTAAGCCTATGATATGTTCTTTCCAAATAGGTACTTGATATATTACGTTAATTAGGCCTATAAGTAATTCAAGTAGAAGACTCACTTTTTACCTGGAAATAACAGTGATTGGAGATAAAAGTGTCTCCGAGGCCACGAATATTAACTAAGGTAGGCCCTAACTTATAAGATAATTTTTCGTTTTGATTTCCTCTATCTACCTTCTATTCTAGTATGCTACTGCTTGCAACATTACGGAATTACGGAACGGACCATGCCTAACTGTTACTTGTAGAACTATAGGCCTACTGAACCTGAAATGAAAATGAAAATATAAAAATTGAAGAGAAGAGAATAAAAATAAGCCAGTCAAGTCATTTAAAGTACATGTGCTACAAAAATCTAAGAAACAACTGAATAACTGAATAACTTAGGCCTATTTCAGAATGATTTTATTTCTAGGCATGTGTGGAAGGCAACTCGGGCTTATGCGGATTCGTGACTGTATTAACTTGAGTGTTTTGAAGTTAGGTTAGATTAGGAAGGTAAAGTGTAGGTTATAGTGAACCGAGTCCGAGTTGATAATTTATATTACACACAGGCAGTTGTTGTGCCATTAAAATAGTGTGTTAAACACAACAAAAAAAACGATTTCAAAAATGCTTGCAGCAAGGATTTAAAAGGGCATAAAAGCTACATGGTTAAAGTAACAATGTTGGCCTATTTTGTGGAGTGGATAGGATTACTGGAACTGGATTTTATCAAATCCATCATGATCAAATCAATCATGATCAAATCCATCATCCGCCACTAACCATTTCACTTAAGTAAGTAAGCTGTGTACAGCTTAGCTATCTTGTTTCCCGAACGTTCATTATGCCGAAATTAATAAGTTGCGTTAATTAACCTATTGATTGTTAGTGTGAGTCTTATATTTACTTAAAATCACTTACAATTTACATAAATTTGATAGTTAAAATATCAAGTTTCTAGTGAGGAAATATCGTCAATTAAAATAGACTAGTCAGTTGACTTACAAAGGTAAATAAAACTTAAAACAGCCGTAACTCCGTTAATATTTTTGAGCGCAGAAACATTTTTGCACCGTTATTTTCAGCTAAAAATCTAGTTTCTGGTGATATATAAATCTATATAGGTTCCCATGGTCACGTTCGTCGCAATAATTACCGCCTACTTCGTTACTGTGTAGCCTACAGTATTATGTATAGGTAAGTTGAATTAATTCCTAAGTTAGGCCTACTCATAAAGTAAAGGGAGGTGGGATTGCAGTTAGTTAAAACATATGACTTCCAAGTCTATGGTCCCAACTTACGGTACAAGGATAGGCTATCTACAGTGAAAGGCACGGTGACATTTTTGGCCTGATTTAGGCAGCCGCGTTCATGTCGGAGCTGCGATAAACGATCGTAGCAACAATGAGAGCAGGGATGCTATGTAGTAGTGGAGAGTAGCGCTCTGCTGTAATTGGCTGTTGAAGTCTGAGCTGCGACACTCACACTGAAAAGTTGATTTGTGAGTTCCTGAATTGAAAATGAGTTTGTATATTCTGCAGAATAGTAAGCTTAATTTTAGCATCAAATAGCCTACAATGGTCATTCAATAAGGGTGTAAAATACAGGGTGTTTTTAAAAGAATGCTGGGATTTTAAATGGTAATTGCTTGGATACTATTCAATGTAACTAAACGTTTTCTACGTCAAATTGAAGCTAAAATAACTAAGTTTTGTATCCCGTGTAGCAAGGGAGGAATCTTTGACCTTGGCATGCGTAAAACAGTTGCGGGGTGATAGGCCGCTATTGTGACTCATATGCCTGACGCCAGTCGCCAGTACTACGTTTACGGCGCAACAGAAGGCACAGATTGTAATCTGTAGTTCGGAGAGTTTATATCCATTGCTAAATTAAACTAAATTAAAATCTAATTGATGATAAAGAAACTTAAAACTGGTTTAATGAGTTTCGTGAAACCAAAATGTTTTGAAAAGACATTCCTAGCCGGCTAAAAACAAGCGATGACATGGTCGAAGGAATCCTACAATTCTGCATCAGAAGCCCGAAAAAATCGATTGCCCGACAAAGTTTTCAGTTTAACAAACCTAAATTGGTCACTTTATGATGTTATCTACAGGGTGTCTCAGACCACCCGGCCGGCTTGTATAGCTCCAATATGATAGCAAATGGAAACCTAATTGCAACTGGAACCCCCTATTTTGACCCCAAGGAATTCAGCTAAATTATTTTCAACCCCAAAAAAGCACCCCAAAGTGCAGATTTTGGGGGGTGGGGGTGGTTTTTGGGAAATTTTCAAATGTAAAGGGGGGTCGTGTTATACCTCTTTTTAAAGGTCCTTTAGTCCTGAGTATTTTAGTGGAAAAAGATTTAAATTATCTTCATCCCTATTTACAGGGTGTTCAAAAACGTACAAAAAATAGCCCTTTGAACTACTTTTCACTGTAAAGAAGTGGAATTTTGTGGGGGGTTCAAATTTTGATAACACTTTAATTGCTAAATGAGATTTCAAAAAACTCTGGTTTCAACCCTTTTGCTATATTTTTACTTATGTTACGCATTTTCAAACTTTTTGAAGTTTCAAAAGCTGTTATCTCAAAAATTTCAAATGGCAACATGGGTTTAATTACAAACCACATTGTAGCCCTTAAAATTTTCTATAATTTTTGTATTTAATGTTTTTTGGTATCTTCATTGGTTAAAGAGATATAACGAAATTAGTGTATTTTAATGGTTTATTAAATGGTATTCAAAGTGTTTACTGTGGCAAATGTACACCTCTAGGTCTCAATTAAAACAAATCTTGTCTAAAAAAATAAAATAGTACTCAGATTGTTGATCTTGGAAGATTGATAAAGGAAAGAACACAACTGCAAATGTTCTTAGTTATTTTACAATTCCATGGCTCTAATAGTTCTTTGAATGAATAATTTGTTTGAATCAGCATTAATAGCCTACATACTGATGGACTTCTACAAATGCTTAAATTGCCTTCCATTTTGTTCCATGCAAACCCCAACTTTGTTATGCATGTAGTACTTCTTCTCCACTATTATGGTACTGTATTGCTGTTTTACTACCGCAGGTGCATTCACCTCTCGTACAAATCCAGTAAGTTCCTTATAATTTGATTTATCTAATCAAACGTGACCAGTTTCATGCACACGCTCATTGATTTCATGATGATTTTTTTTATTTACCAGTAGCATTTATAGACAGTATTCATTCAAAGCACTATTAGAACTTTGTAATTGTAAAATAACTAAGAATATTTGCAGTTGTGTTTTTTCCTTTATTAATCCTCCAAGTTTAACAATCGTGGTAATATTTTAATTTTTTAACATAATTAGTTTTAATTGAGACCTAGAAGTGTACATTTACAACAGCAAACACTTTGAATACCATTTAATAAAACATTAAAATACACTAATTTCGTTATATCTCTTTAACCAATGAAGATACCAAAAAACATTAAATACAAAAAATTTAGCAAATTTCAAGGGCTACAATGGGGTTTGTAATGAAACCCATGTTGCCATTTGAAATTTTTGAGATAACAGCTTTTGAAACTTCAAAAAGTTTGAAAATGCGTAACATAAGTAAAAAGATAGCAAAAGGGTTGAAACCAGAGTTTTTGAAAGCTCATTTATTAATTAAAGTGTTATCAAAATTTGAACCCCCCACAAAATTCCACCTCTTTACAGTGAAAAGTAGTTCAAGGGTCTATTTTTTGTACGTTTTTGAACACCCTGTAAATAGGGATGAAGATAATTTAAATCTTTTTCCACTAAAATACTCAGGACTAAAGGACCTTTAAAAAGAGGTATAACACGACCCCCCTTTACATTTGAAAATTTCCCAAAAACCACCCCCACCCCCCAAAATCTGCCCTTTGGGGTGCTTTTTTGGGGTTGAAAATAATTTAGCTGAATTCCTTGGGGTCAAAATAGGGGGTTCCAGTTGCAATTAGGTTTCCATTTGCTTTCATATTGGAGCTATACAAGCCGGCCGGGTGGTCTGAGACACCCTGTATAAAAGATAGAGTCTTTGTTCTGAAAAAGATTCAGTTAAGACATCAGATAAACCCGCCGATCGCCCTAAGCGTATAGACTTTGCCAGTTTTACGCTCATATAAGAATAAGATTGATGAAAATATGAATTTTATTAAATCATTCCGAATTGTATGAAAGACTGAGAAAAAACGTTGTTCTTTTCCCTTCAATTTTACGTTTAAATCGTTAAGTTATCTTGAATAGTCACCCAGCAACGACCGTTTGAAATCCCGGCATTCTTTTAAAAACACCCTGTATTAGGAATAACTTAACTCATTCAGTTATACATCTATCCATCAGATCATTAGGTAGGCCTACTGTATTTGTATTCAATTCACAAGCGATTTGACTCTGCAGATTCACAACTTGTCCTAAACTAATCTATTTGGGTGATTTTTATCACACTTGTCCCATAATGCTTGTCTCGTAAAAACTTGCTAGGCCTAGGGGCCTAATTAATTTATCTGCATCCATGGTGGGAATCGCAATAAGTTACTAGCTGAGAAAAAGGACTGAGTTATTATTGCTGGCTCTCATCGATGGTTGGGACCCAAAGTGATTAACAGTCCAGCTTCAACGTAAACAGAGGCCCATTAACCCATTAAGAGAGTACGTCAGTACAGTAGAACCTCTTTAATCCGAATTAATTGGGACCGGGGGTAGTTTGGACTATTGAATAGTTCTGATTACAGAACATATTGTTGTTGTTTTTACTTAACAATAGCTAGGGAAAAGTGAAAAATGTTTTATAAAGTAAAATACAGTGTTTATTTGATACAGTAGTAAACATAGAGAATAAACAGGACTCTACATTACAATTGAAATAATTACGGTGCGTATATCAATAAATACAGTATACAATAAAGAACTACTGTACTGTGTATAGAGTACAGCAATGAGGCATTCGGATTAGTGGACGTTCGGATTACAGAGGTTCTACTGTATTATCTAAACAGCCAGGATCGCAGCTAGTATCGCTAATCGCAGCTCAGACAACGTGGCCTTAAATTATATAGCTTGCTGCTGCTGTAAAAAAATGCAAGTTAGGTAGGCTAATTGATGTCTTAACTTACTTCTCTATAAGTTTGGGCTCCTGTTTACCTAAATCTTACGTGCCGGTTTTTGTATAATGCTAGCCTTGATACTTGATATTTCATTGATAGGCCTACTTGTCTCCTTCATCGATGAGTTACAATCACGGATATATTGCATCAATTTGTTTGGATTTAAAAACATAGGCCTACATAAGTTGTATAGGAAAAGAGTTTCATTTAAATTACTTAGACTAATGAGGAAACCAAAACATGGTAATACATGTCCGTATTAGGCTTGGGGTTCTCTAATTATTCCTAGGGGTTTTTTACTAAGCTCGTCCAGCAAGTACAGTGGCCTTTTTGCTAGGTTGTCCCAGATTACTGCCGTAAAGCAGAAGATGTTAATTTTTTTACCTTCTCTGGAAAAATGTTAGCCTATAGAGCCTGGTGGTATTCCAAGAATAGTTCGTGAGAAAGTGTGGATGAGACAACATAGCGGCATAAGGATCGTTATATTTTACTATTTAACAGCCTGGTTGTACAAATTCCTCTTAGGCTGATTTAGACTTGTCTGTGTAGAAGGAAAACGCCAATAGGCAAGCGTGTTTCTTTAAAAACTTTTTTTTTAACTTGTGCGCATCGTTGGGAAAAATTAACGCATACTGTTAAAAAGATATTTTTTTGTAGATGTGCAGAATCCCTTTATAAATTAAAATAGGCTCAACTAACTTATACAGACGAAAAAAGAATTTAAAAATTATAAACAAGTTAATATGAGCCACATGGGTTGCCATGCTGGTGACGAAATAACAACAATATATGAACAGAAAATCAAAACAAATATAAGAAATTCCAATCACATGTTTTATTTACAGCATGGGGTTAAAATAGAGAAGTTTGTACATTACATATTTTTGTTCCTAAACGACATGGTATATTAGGTGAGGTCAATACTTCAGTATGATAATTGTTTGTTGGGCATCACTCACCTTATTGAAATCACGACAACGTAGTCCTTGTCATATCACAAAGTACAATACATATTTTTGGGCAAGTTTTTGACCACTGGACAATACAAAAAGTAATAATATAAAAAGAGAGCTACAGTTAGGGTGAAAATTAGAAAATGTAGTCTAGCATGCCAAATAAGAGTTTAAACTTATCCAATTTTGTGTTTTTGTTTCAGCTTTTCTATTCATTTTTCAAATCCTTGGTTGGAAAGGATGTTGTCGTGGAGTTGAAAAATGATCTCAGGTAAATACTAGACCTTAAGTGTAATAAGGCATTTAGGTTATTTTTTTAGGTTAAATGGTAGGTTAAATTAGTATTATTTTTAAAAATCTTTGGTTTATGGGGTCTGTTGCCCATTCATGAAAGACTGGTCATCGCCGTGCTCAAGGGGCTTCCAACCTATAACCCACGGGCCACAAGCGGATTTTTTCTGTCCCGCAGAAAGCCAGTAGGCTATAGGCTAATGATAATCTTTTTGCAATCACATTAACACATGTGGCCTCTTTTGGCAACACTGTGTAATAAGTTAGTTTTCCGCATTTACGGCAACACTCGTTGACACAGCTTGTAGTATCCGCAAAACCGTGATGGTTTTCTGCGATTGCAATTATACTCATGACCATACTTTTCAATCTCAGTGATACCATGGTCGTCTCCCGCAATGACAGTAACACTCGTTGCCGTATTACTCAATTTGTTAAAAGTCTGAAATGACGTTTACGGCCAAGTTTACATGTGCCTAGGGGCCGCTGATATTTTATACTGATTATTTTTGTAAGTTTAACCGTTGAGCATGATGTATCTGTCCGGTAAGTAAGACAGCGTTTCCTTGTTGGATTTTTTTCATAAATCAAAGTGACAAAGAAGAGTGTGTGGTGAAACCTAGCCTATTCACTCTGGATATCCAAAGGAAATGATACTATTAAACAAACAATATCCGCTTTTTGAAATAATGCTTCCATGGTCACTAACACACCCCAAACTTGGTCTTAACGTAGTGTTAATGTTTGTTGTTTCATTGATAACCTGTGTAGAGTAGATGTAGAGCCATTTCGGACTAATGTTTTATGATGTAATTTAACAGAGTTATTTTATTCCACAGTATATGCGGCACCCTACACTCGGTGGACCAGTACCTCAACATCAAGCTCACAGATATCAGCGTCACGGATCCAGACAAGTATCCCCACATGGTACCTTCACCTTTTTTACTGACATTAACTATGGATCTGAATACTGATCTATTATAAGATATTTTTAGTGATTTCTATATACATAAGGCCTTTGTATAAAGTTTGTGTTACAAATTATACCCACCATTATTATTTAACCCTTCAAGGCGGTTTGACGAGCCTTTCTTGTCACATATAAAACATCGCTGCCTACGGTTTTACCAGATCCGCTTGTCATGACACAGGCAGTAGGTGGTAGCATCTGACAATGCATCAGTGAACTATTTTGAACTAGGATTACATACTACAGCACATTGTCAAATTAGTTGCTTGATCTGTTTCGGCCGTAAATAATTTAAAAACATAGATAAATGGTTCACGTTTGTGTGATTGAATTAGAACAACCTCATCTCAGTGCATATTAGTTACATGTGTGCTTTTAACACATTCTGTTTTGGAGCCTTCATCCTGTTAAACTTGAGTTTCTTGATAAGTTTGATACGTTGATTCTCTAACTAGTTGATTTTGGATTCCAGGTGAGTCGTAGAGAATGAATACGGTGGCCGCGGTAACATCCTGATTTAGCCTCTGTATAATACTTCTTTTGCGATTGCTCTTATTTGAAGGAGGGGGGGGGGGAGTAATCCCAGCTACTTTGACCTTTTGATCTTTCTTACACCCCTGCTCAATCCGACAACCTATGTTTCTGGCACGAATCCAAACAGTTGGAACAACCATTGCTCTTATCTCCTAAGGCTTAAAAGTAGCACCTTTCAATCTAGCTGTTGGATTGAGACGTGTTCTAAGGTTCCCACCTCTTTTTCACAGAAACTGCTTTGGTCTGTGATCTTCCAATGGTTCAAAGGTGTTCTCTTATTGTACTCAGCCCAGTTAGTAGCCTAACTGATAACTCCCTTCTTAAGGATCTATATGCCTTCCATGCTTGTACTTTGGTTCCGTCAGTGCATTGAGGAAAAGTGGAAAGTAAAAGGTACTTTCATGGTTTGTATGAAAAGGGAAACCATCTGCAGATGGGGGAACCATTATTATTATGTAAAGTAGGGTACTGGTCCTGTGAGTTGTACTGCCACTCCCTTCCTGGCTAGGACGTCAGCTGTTTCGTTCTCTTTGTGTTCTGAGTTCCCTGGAACCCAGGCAATCTCAGGCTTGGTTTAGTCTTGTGATCTCTTTATTATCCCAAGACTCCCGTATTGGAAAAATGCTGAAGTTATTGAAATCATGAGAAATGAGAATAGGCATAAAGTCATAAAACATTTGTTAGTGTTTAACATCCCTGGCTTTAAATATTCATTACAGTTTTGAATTCTTTGAGTTATTATATGTACGTTATGAATAAATAAGTCATTTCATGTTTATAAATTCTTCTGAGAATCATTTATTATATATTAGGTATTTCATTGAGTATCATTATGATTATTAGTATTATTTGTGTGTTATAGTTTTTAAGATGTAGTTGTCAGTAAAAGGTTAGTGTTAGCTTTAATTATCATAAAATTGACGTGGTATGAATTCATCACTAAGTCTTTAGAACTACAATCTGTTATAACGCCAAATTAAAATAATCAACATCTATGGTCCCAGCGACATCATCATCTACTTTTTTGATCGCGACAAAATCGTGTACATCTTGCACTGTCGCTGAGACATCATCATTGTCTCCCGCAGTTTCAGGGACATCATAATCGTTGACATCGCGATTTTTAGTTCGCTTAATCGTCCCAGAAACGTTCTGTTATGAGAATCAAAGCTTGATTTTCTTTCTTTAGGTTTAAGTAGGTACAGTACTCTGTCTACTGTAGTATTCAAGATTGGTTCGGTGTTGACTAACTATTATCTTTTTTTCCAGATATCTACCAAGAACTGTTTTATCCGAGGCTCTGTAGTCCGATACGTACAGCTTCCTGCTGACGAGGTTGACACACAACTCCTTCAAGATGCAGCACGAAAAGAAGCTGCTGTACCTTCAAGATAACTTTGTTTTACTATATTTTACCTTTTAAGTTTTTAAAATAACTTAAGTTGTTGTACTATAGTGTGCTATGTATCCCTCATATTGAGAAGTAAAAAAGCATTTTAATTTCAATACCTACTTAACGGGTTTTTATTGGTCCAATCCAAATTAAGAGTTTTAATGTAGAAAAGCATCTATCATCTGGTTGTTTAACACTTCGGTAGTAGCGTATTTTGCGCAGTGTAACTTCTGTTTAGCCAGTAATAATTTGTCAAAGCATTGTTGTGTTGTAGCATTATGGTAATAACAACTGGTTGAGGTTAGTTCAGTTTCTTAGATAGTTTATAATGTTTAGATGATATAAAAACCGGTGAGCACCTCCATAGCAAGAGCGATGCAGAATATTCAGATTTTGTTGGCTGCACTGGTTCATGTGTGCGCGCGCAATTTCGTAACCACTACACTGACGTCATGGCACTTGCAGCACTGTTCGATCTTTTTACCATATGCCTACATGCGGTGCAGCTAGGGTTCAGCCACTGTCCACGCCGTTCCGTAATATTAGCTACAATAGCGAACTTCAGTCAATATGAATTAAATTATGTAGTTTTTCATATACTTAAATGATATAATATTGTTTTTACTACTGGCAATTGTAGTTTGATTAAAAGAAATAATATTGTTAATGGTAGGGTGGGGGATGGGGCAAGGGGCGTACGAGAGTCTTATGTGCTAGCCCTAGCCGCCACAGTTATATCACTAAAAGTTGGATAATAAAGGCTTTAATGTATGTGCCTAAACTGTGTTCACAAAATGTAGGAGGTTTGAGGGAAAGTTCCTCTACAATTTTTTGGCTTAGTTATTGCCGCTAATTGACTGTTTGACAAACGTCAGCTGTGGTAGCTAATCTGTGGAGAGATTTCTTCGTCTAAAACCGCCTAGATTTTGTGATCGAAGTATAGGACAGATTCTCAAGAAATGCTGATGTTTACATGCTATAAACTGTGGTATGTTTGAATTACCTCCTGTCCAACCACATAATGTTTTTACTGTAGTGACCTTTGTCAATCGTCAGTTGTCACAGAAAGGCTGTGGATTGAAGTTGAGGCTACGTTTGCCTTGTTGATACGTTTAGAGAGATGTAATTTTCATATTGTGTTAGTGTACTTCAGCCCCCATGGCACATTTATCTTGGAGGTTCCCAAACATGCTGTGAAAACTTGAACTATGGCCTTTTCATCGAATTTGGCTCAATTCCAAGTAATAAATTGTTTGTAAAGCATCCTGAGTGTAATTTATGTTCAAATTGTGGTTTTTATTTTCTAAATACATATTTTTCTCTCACCTTTCAGAATAATCCTAATCCGCAAATTTGATCTGATCAAAATGGAATTTGGAACTTCAATCTCTGCTCCTGTTTCTTGACCGTAGAGACAACGCTTTAGATTATTTGAACGATTAGACCCACACCGTCGCACTAACAACACTGGTCAACCCGTAGCTCAAGCAAAGCGGTTTTCAACACAAATAAGATATTATTTCCTGCCATTTATTTTGTTAAGTTATACTTAGCCACAATTACTGGAATTTACAGCTTGTGTTTTAAACAGCAGATTACAGATAGTTTTGTTTTGAAACAATTTAAATATTGCACAAATATTATAGTGTTTACATCAGAAATTTTTCTTCAAAATGTTGATACATTTGTTTACAGCACTTGTTTTATGTCCCTTTTTTCTAGGTTACCAATGTTAACAACTGTTGTTGAAGAGTTTATAGATTCATGTGAAGAGTGTCTTTGGAATGTAAGTTTATTTTAATGCAAAACACAAATTTTACCATATACCTAAACAAACACTGTGAATAATTGTTTCCCAATTCTTTTAACAGTAACATAACAATACATTATCATACAAATAAATAATACGCTAATAGTTCTTGATAAGAATAACTAAAACGTTGCTGTATACTGTAACCTAGGAGACAAGTCTTTGCAAGCGAGTAATTATGTCAGTAGTGTAGAGTGGATATATGTGGATCCTACTCCGCTTTTTTCAAGCGGGATTTCGGAAGGGTGGATGACGTACCACTTTTCAGTCTTGGAGAGATGGAGGCGTCCGTCCTATCCCTGAAGAAAAATAAGGCTCCTGGACCCGATGGGGTACCCGGCAAAGTCCTCAAGAAGGTTTTGACTACCAACCCCTTGATCCTTTTGCGCATGAACAACACCTGCTTAGCCAAAGAAGTTTTCCCCTCGTGCTCGAAAACAGCTAGGCTTGTGCTTGTTGGGAAGGGGAAGGGAGACCCAGACCTGCCATCCTCTTACAGACCTCTGTGTATGTTGGATACAGCTGGCAAAGTCCTCGAGAAGTTGATCCGTTCCCGGCTTAATTCAGTCGTGGTCGCTGCGGGGGGCCTGTCCCCTCGTCAGTATGAATTCAGGATGGGGCGACACTGATCTACGGTTGACGCTGTCGAGGAGGTGAAACAAGCCGTGATGAGAGCTGAGGATTTTAACCACTACTCTCGTAGGGTTGTGCTGCTCATAACACTCGATGTGCGAAACGGTATGCTGGATGCGCTGGATAACACCTTCCACGTTCCGGCATACCTCATGCATATCATAGAGGATTATCTCCGGTTCCGCCTCCTCATGTATGACACTACAGAAGGCCCACGTACGATGAGTGTCACTTCTGGTGCTGCCGAAAGTTCCATACCTCTGGAATGTCGTGTATGACAGCCTTCTGAGGTCTGAAATGCCTGAGGAAACTGTTTTGGTTGGGTACGCAGCCGACATTGCAGTTTTGATAGCTGCACGTAGCGTTGAGCTGGCTCAGCTAAAGCTGAACAGAGTTATACGTACCATAAACGCATGGGTGGCAGACCACGGTCTCTCGCTCGCTTTGAGCAAAACTGAGATCGTGATATTAACAAAATAACGGATTTACACTATCATGCCGTTGAGGGTAGGGGCTGTCGAAGTCCAGACCGTTCGTTCTGCCAAGTACCTTGGGGTTATGGTGGACAGCAAGCTTTGCTGGTGGGATCAGATATTCCGTACGGCGGACAAGGCTGCTAGGGTGGTTTCCTCTCTTAGCCGGTTGATGGCCAATGTCGGAGGGCCTAGGTGCAGCCGTAGATGACTGTTAATGTCTTCTGTCCAGTCCATACTCTTGTATGGTGCGGAGGTGTGGGCAGACGCTCTCAATAAGGAGGTATATAGGATGCGACTCGTCCGAGTGCAGCGTCAGGCAGCACTAAGAGTTGCATCCGCCTACCGAACAGTGTCCGAACCCGCCGTCCTGGTGGTTGCTGGAGTCATCCCCGTCAAACTTTTGGCTGCGGAGAGAAAGGCAATTTATCAGCACTGTGCGTAGGACCAGGCACAAACAGAGGAACGCACCCGCACCTACCAGCTGTGGCAGGAGGGCTGGGAACAGGAGACACGGGGACTGACACAGCAAGTCCAACCTTGGGTTAATCGGCGGTACGGAGAGGTGGACTTCTACCTCACCCAATTTCTGACGGGACACGGCTTTTTCCGGTCGTACCTGTTCAGGATGGGCAAAGCCGTGTAATCCGATTGCACATACTGCCCAGGCATTCCCGATGACGTGGAACATACCTTTTTCCACTGCGAGCATTGGGAAAGGCCCCGCCTGGAGGCTCAACAGTTAGTAGGATTGCTGTCGGTGGACAGGTCATACCAATGATGATGGATGGTGAGGACAATGGACCTGTGTGTCACATTTCATCCAGGGAGTTCTCTGCGCCAAGAAGCTCGACCTTGACCGGGATGCGGTGTACAGTAGGTCATAAAGTATATAAATGCCAGAAAAGGTGAGAGCCCTCAAGGTCACATGTTGGCCTGACTTGAAGTAATGTGACAAACAATTCCAGGTCTGTGTCCAACAGAGTAGAGGGGGTTTTTTAGTGAGTAGTCTGTGATAAATTCAGGAGTCTCACACTACAGGGTGGCTACCTTTGTGCGTAAAAGCATTTTCCTTCCTCCCCCTTAAAAAAAAAACTTCACTTTTTCCAAGAGTCCTACTTTTGAGTCAGTATTTGGGCAAAAGTGAGCATTACACAGGAAAATTTTCGACTACATCACTGGTTTAAGTCTTGTGGTGTTGTTTCTTAAAATAACACTACCTCTAACAAAACTCATTCCAGTACAAATGTGGAAAAGGTAGAGGTGTAAACTGGTGGCGCTCTCAGTGACAAGCCCTCGTCAATGGCCAAGCTTATAGTCATCGGATGTATTTAATATCGGTTGTATGCCTATTGTCAATGCATGCCCCACCGCAGCTGCAGCAGTGATGACTAAATTAGGCGTGTGTGGTGATCATCCTCGCTCGGTCAGGCCTTGTATGCAGCAACTCATGATGAATCAAACTGTCCGTAGTTCAGCCTCAAGCAAAATAAGTTAACACGGTGAGTTCAGAGTCTCAATCATGTTAACTTACTCCTCTGGAGCTGATTTGAAAGGACCACTCAAACTAGAAGTCCTCAACTTTGTCTTTTTCCAAAGAAGTTGTCAACGTAAGAAATTAATCAAATGTGGTTAGAAAAGAATGGTTCTTTCCATATTGTTTATGTGGAGCAAAGCCAATATCCATTTGGTGGAACAGATCTATGAAGTATATAGCTGTAGTGATGTGTGCTCGTGTAGTTACCAAATGTCACAAAATTGATCCTGAGAAAAGTGATTAGCTTAGATTTCATGGTTTGATTTCCCAGATGGTACTTGATAAATGCTCCTGGCTAAGAAACAGCTGGTCTGAGTCATTAACAAGGCTACCCAAACCATCTCACTACATTCTACACTCACTCTTCAAATTTCATCCTTAATTTTCAGCTTAAAATGGCTATGTCACAGGGTTCTCGCTTTCAAATTTAATTGAAGTCACCACTGAAAAATTGATAACAAGTTGGAACTATGGCAATTAAAATTATCATATTTTTGTTTATAATAAATCATCTCCACTTAACACAGTAAGCAGTAAGCACTTACCTCTACCTCTGATGTGGTTAAACGTCAGGAATAATTTCTGATTGTGAGTTGTATCGTATACAAATACAAGGAACTCTCCATGGCCGTGCGTCAGTGAGGCGTATAGCTAGATGCTTAAAGCATTCATACTGCATGTTTTTTATTCGAACGAGAGCCCACCTGCCAGTGCAAATAAATCAGCTGTAGCAGTTTATTGTGTATAATCTGACCTGTCAATTGGATACTGTTTATGTTTATTGTGACAAAATGTAAACATTCATCTCGCTGTACGGTCAGGCCCTGGGATAGTAAAGGAGTGCAGTTGATTACTGTAAATGTCAAATCAATAAAAGTGTGCCATTTTTGAGATTGCCTTTATGTCCAGTGCACAGATCTGATTACAAGCTATAGTTTATTTTCAGCTGGTCAGGAAGTAAGGTTTCCTAAACTTTTATCTGTCTCAATGGAAACTGAAAATCACCAGTTACTAGCCTCGTGTGATAGTGTAAGACCTTCAGTAAACTTCCTAAGTCACTTTTATGTACATTTACTTTTCCGTATAGACAACAGTCTATTTGTAGGTAACAGATTTTAATAGCGGCTGATGCCTTAGGCCACATAGGTCTTAATCACAGAACGTAATTCTTTCTTGGCAGGAGTTTCGGTTTTCCTTTGCATCGTTTTCAGCTACTATGACTTGACTAATAGCCAGGGTTGGTTACCAGCTAGAATAGTTCTCGGCGTTCTCGCCACAAATTAACTCCCATATTGTTAACCATAATAGGTAACTAGGGCAAAATTAAAAGGCCTACACCAAAATTATACAGGAAGTTAAGTAAATTAATCAATGGGCTAGATGTTTATTAAATATTTATTCAAACATTGAGATATAATTTTACAATATATACAAAAATAATAAATTATACTTTTCCTATGAAACAAAGGCTGTTAAATGAATGCATGGAAAATGAAAAAGTGTAATGAATGCCTGGTTTCACATATAAATAAATAAATACTCTACTCTATAATGGTTAACAAAATATCACATTTGTAAAAGCATAACTTCTACTATACTGACTGGAATACTTTTGCTTCGAAACATAACAGCTCTTTTATGACTAGAATAAGTGTTTTAAGGTTCTTATGTAAATAACATCAAAGTATGGGAAATAACATAAAATACAAATACATTTTTAACATTTTGTCTAAAATTATGGTTATTATAATAGTGTTTTAACTGTTTGCATGAATAAAATTAGATTTTACACCAAAATAGGGTGGGGATATAAGTTTGTAGTGTACAGCCAATTGTAAAAGTTTCTCTTGACACATGTTTAAAAACAAACAATTAACTTAACATATGATTCAATGTTGCCCTTTTGTAATAATTTGTTATCAGCTGTTTTCTAAAATTAAGATTGGATCATTAAGTCTAAAAATGTCTAAATATTTTGTAAATTAAACTTAACATACATTTTGAGTTTTACCTGATGTTTACAATGGTAACATAATCATATGTACAACATTTAAACAATCTCAAAATAAGTTGATTAGACGATAAAACCTTTCATTATCTTTAAAGATGTTATTGAATATAATACTTTGATACATCCTGATAAATAATTTTGGGAAACAAAATAACTATCAGCTACATCTTAAAAATTCTATGATTTAATTGAGAAATTTCTATTATGTGTTGGAAATCTAATTCAAATAAACAATGAGTTTAAAATCTAACCTATGTTTTGTACTTTATACCGCGTTTGGATTATAAAACTTATAGTAAACTCGTTTTACCTTTGTATTCTACGAAAATATTAGTGTTTGACACGTCCAGTGTGTCAAGCACTTTTACTAGATTGAATTAGATAACTTAAGAATAATTTATCTTTGGCTGCGTCTATTATGGTCTATGACGCTAAGCTAAGTAAAAACCTTTTAACAATGGATTAAAGCTATTTTTGCTGTCAAACGATTAGCTGTTACAACTTAACTTCTTTGGAAACATTTTACTCTAGATGCAGAATTTCTTGAGCTATGAAAATCATTCAAAACTTCACCGTCAAAGTAGAAATAACTGATAAAGAAATTTGGTTTGCAGGTAGATTTAGGAACAACGGTTCAACTGATATTTCACCTTTCACATTCATAGAAATGCTCCTATAGTTATTTTTTTAAAGTGTGCTACGCATGTTCAATTCGGCTTGTCTTGTCAGTAATTAGAATTGGCAGAACATTAGATTTTAGAAACTGAGCTCAAGCTGGCGCTCCCACGAACTGTCAAATTTCTGGCTTGATTTAGCTTGTCATTTCAGTTTGTCCTGGTCGAATTGTCAAGCGAAATTGAATTGGGATAAGCGAAACCTGCGAGATGGATGATTGTAGAATAGAATGAGAGTTTGGTGCAGCTTCTTCCATCAACTTTAAATAGTGCAAGGGGGAAGTGTATGTTTAACAGTTAACCTAAGCTTGTATTGAATAAGTCTAGCCGATTATGGTTTCCAAATTGATAACCCAGCCAGACAGCTTAAGAAATTCCATCCAGAGTTAATTCCACGTTTCAAACAAATATCCAGTCTCTTGAAGCTTCAATCCCAGAATGCTGTTGGGGCCGCTCCCGTTTCCCCTCCGTGGACTAGTGACTATCGTAACTTTTCACCTGCGTCTTTGTCTACTGTTCAGAGCTGCTAAAGTAAGAGTTCTGCATGAGGTAGAGCTTGTCTATAGGGTTGATCTGTCCCAGCAGTAGACCTTCAGAGGTATGTTGTAAGGGATGCGGGTGAGGAGGAGGACCTAGCTCTAAACTGAGGGTGTCGGAACCTCCCTCGTCCAGGTTGGTGCTGTCGTCCAATGAGATGTCCGAACTGCAGAAACTCTCGCCTGAGTGCGCTGGGTAGGCATCTGCGGAAAAAAGATTGAGATTTAGTAAAGGCTCAGGTTGTCTAAATTTCGTATCAGCTGACCTAAAGATAAGAAATATTGTTACTTTGCAACAACAGTCAGGAATGTTCCTTAGCTTTTCAGTAATGTTCATTAAAAACTATTAAAATAAAACTACTACTAAATAATACTACTATTTGTGTCACCTATAATTTTTTGGGTAGTGCTTTTCATCCCGTCGTTCTAGGGTTATTTTTATTGTTATTTTACACCCTATGGCTCTCTTGAACACAAATTCCTCATGCAGACTATTCCTGTTTCGTTTGCTTGTTCTAACTGTTAAGTGGTCGTCACAAATATAATATATGCGCTCAGTAATTACCAAGGTATTGTCATCTTGTGATGCTCACTGTTAATAGGAAAACGTGATCAGCGAGATAGTTATTTGTGTCACTTATTCAAACAGTTCACATGGCGTTACATTTATGTAACTGTATTCTTTGTAATCTTATACCAAGATAATAGGTGACACTTCAGTAACAGTATTATTTATCCTCTGGTACGTTAAATAACACATATACCACTAGTTTAACTCCCCTTGTGGACGATTGAGAACCAAGAAGGACTGGACACATTTTGCTTTATTTACAAATTATAGTAGTAGTATTTTACTTTGTGAAAAGGTTTTATTTGTGTTGACAACTAACTACAAAACAGAAAAAACGTATTTTCAATGGGAAACAAACTTATCATATTCAGCATGTTCTTCAGTGAGATTTGTTCATCATTCAACAACATAACAGTAAAAGTTTAGTGGTTAAGTTTAGTTTTCAACATTCAACACTCTGCATAAGGCTTTTTCAGAATCAAAACGGTGACCTGGAAGAGTATGTTTTCAAAAATAAGAAAATTATTGTTATGTGCATTATTTAGATATAGAATCTTTCCATTTCGGTAACGTCGCTCCACAATAGCAGTTATTGGTATATCATTCATACTCGAGTTGTACTGTTATCTTTACAATCCACAGTAAATTGAATTTGCACAGATTTATTGTGTTTGCTGTATGAAAGAAACCATATGCCGCAATGGTTGAGCCATGTCCTGATGTTTGATTGATTCAAGAGTAAATGGTTGTGATGAGAAAAACAAAAGTGAAATTGGTACAAAGTTAAGCTTGCACTGTTACCATTTCAATTTGTTTTAACTGTGGTGTACCTTAAACTAGTATTTTAACATTTAAAAAATACAAATAGACCTGCAGAACAACTGACAATACAAAAATGGTTAGATAAAAACTTGTAATTTAAAAATTTGAACCAATTCAGTAGATTAAATTTAAATAAATTGGTACCCAATTTTGGCAATGTACAAATTTGTTAACAAGTTCAAAAAAGTTGAAAAATGTTGCATGTCCGTTATTTTCCAAAAAGGTAAACAAGAATGTAGAAAAAAAATACTAATAAACAGTACCGTACGTACTCTTTTTAAAATGGTAAAACGGAGTAATTAGTTAGTTCCCTAATTAATTTAAAGTATCCCTCACTTAATACACTGTTTTACTTTTAGAAAATGACTCAAGTCAACAGAAACTGAATGCATAACAGTAAAATTGTGGGAAATCAATTGTTGTCAAATAAGCTATCTCTACAATTATTGGCTTAAAACCTGGCCTTGTATTTTTAAGTCCAATTTTTAAGAATTTTCTGAAGGGTATTGAGTACCTTTCGACTCTAAGGGTGAAACATTTACCCTTATTTCAATCACTCATTCAGCAATTCCTAGATTATTTTATACGATGTTTTTACCACCTGAAGTCCTAAAAGTGTTACTCTAGTCTAGGTTTTAAACCCAAACATCCCCCCCACAAAAAAAAACCCCACATCCAATAATGTGCCTTTTTATATAAAACGCTGTGTAAAATATTCATATGTACGAGTAGGTAAAATAAGCACTCACCATCAGGGGAGTATGGATGATTTGGGTTGAGAGGTTGGCTAGATTGGGCGTACGTTGTATCAGACGAGTCATGCATGCTGAGCCCATTTATGCCCAGGTAGTGATCTGGAATAAAATACACGGTTAATTCACATACCTAGTGTGCTATTAAATTATCTATCTCTGTGGTACATGGCTTAACTAAGGAAGGTATTACACATATTGAAGTTATTTCAAAAAGGTGTGAATATTTTCTTAAGGTTTCACTCAGCAACTCATTTTGGCACTTAAGTGGTGCCATTTTGAAACAATAAGAGCGTACAACGATTGATACAATGAATATAACCATTGAGTATACACGTAACATGTATACTCAATGATATAACATAGGTTACCCACCTTTTTTTAATAACTAAAAAAAAGTACCACTAAAAAAGTAACTAAATAAACTAAACTAAAATAAAGTAACTAAAAAAAGTAACTAAATTTTTTAATCCACCTTTTTTTGTCGTCAGTCCACTATCTCTACATGACTAGTTTAGGAGCATCATAGCTCGATTTTTAAACCGAAAGTTGTAAAATTTGTCAAAGATGCTTGATAATTGTCTGTCGGCGTCGGATATGGTTCTTTTGGTCAAAATACGTGTCACTAACCTTACCTCACGGCGATTCAATAATTTACAAAATTCTTAAAACACACCGCAAAGCGACATTTCAACTACAGAGCTGCCATTCTGTTCACCAATGATGTCAGTAAACGTCGAGCCGCTTCTTTGCAGCCATACGCAAACTACGGAGATATACGCAAAAACAGCCCTTAGAAAAATACCCTAATATATGATTTTCTGAAATTAGCTTTATATAGTAATAGATAGTGAATCGGTGATGACTAAAGGAGTAACCTATATTTATAGCATAGAATGTTTCCATTTGTAGTTTAATGCTGAAGACTGAAAGAGCACATTGAAGTACACACACTCACACAAGTAAACATAGAGGTGTATACTCTTCTTTCTACACAAAATTTATCCCGGGTTTGAATCTTTCAAAACTGCCTCTTCTAATTGAGATTACATAATGAGTATACCTATATTTATAAATCCCACTAGGGTTTAACCATTATTCACAATAGTCATTGTAGAAATTGTTTTGTTGTTCATTTTGTTACTTTTTACAGTTACCTGAACTCATTTTTTTATACCTAAACTACTCACTATTATCACCTGAGAGAGGTTCTTGTTTGATGTTTTTGTCCCTCTTCTCGTCTTTATCACCCGGAGATTTGTCCGAGTCTTGTTTCTGTTTTCTCTGTATCTTCTTCATCTTTGCTCTTTGGTTTTGGAACCAGACTTGTACGACTCTCACACTCAGACCTGTCTCCTTGGCTAGGGCTTCTCTAACCTACGAAACGAAACATTTTTCTAATTATGTATTACAGAACTATTTTTGTGGTTTCATTCATCAACCACTATTTAAGTCCATCACCAGTTTACAGTCTGGAATGGAGTAAAGTGTTTGGACATTGAAATGTACGCAAGGATTAGAGGGAGGTCAGATATCATATTTAAAATGTTTATGCTGTTTTACAATGTTTTCCATGGTGTATGCTGACTGATTTTGTTTATCGGTCTTAAGACAACCAAAATAATGGGAATTTTATATGCAAATCATGGTGTTTGAACACAAGCGATTATCAAACTAATAGGAGACATCTCTTTACAACAATTAGGAACCATGCCTTGGAAGTCTCAAACAAGCAGATTTGCAGCCAAAGTTTCCTTAAATTCAAACACTCTCCATGGAAACTGATGATCAACTACTGCCGGTCCCATTGTGCTAATATGGAAATATGTACAGGCTTTTAAGCACTCCCTAAGCATTTAATGCACATTTTCTACGTCAAACCAATTTTCTGCATGGGTACATATCTGTCAACTGACAACAGTGACCACCAGGGATTGACACGTTCCTACTGAAATGTAGTCACAGAACGTGATTCATACTACGTTGACGTTGTGGAAGCGTCAATTTTCTTTCACAACGTTTTTGAATATTATGACAACACTAATTACTCCAAGGGTGGAAATCAGCTAGCATAGTAGTGAATGAAGTAAGGAACATGACGTTAATCTGAGAATTGAAGTAGCTCCATTGGTTGTGACATTAGCTGAGGAGACCTTAATTTACGGACAAAGCTCGTCAAACAATGAAATAATATATATATATGACTTATCATAATTTTAGTGGTAGTAAGTAAAACAAGACAATAAAAAGATAACTTGACAATATAGGTTTATGGAAACAAAGGAGAGAAAGTAATATTCACCTTACGACAAGGCTTGGGACTGACTTCAAACGACGCCTTGAACTGTCTTCTCTGGGCCGATGTTAGAATCGTCCGTGGTCTCTTGGGTCCTCTTCTGCCGTCTCTCGGTCTACTGTTTTCATCCAGCAACATGTCGTCTGCAACAATTGTGTGTTTCGTTATGTTTCTCAATTAGCTTTGGAAACTGGAAGCAGAACTACAAGAAGATTGTCACTACTCGTGATGGGGAGTGTGTTCAAAGTTGTTGATGTAAAATAACTGTTTCTTGTTCTTTAGAGTCAATTTTGCATGATGCACACCAGAGAACAAGCCTTATTTTACAACTGTATCGTAATTGTCTGATTCAGTGTTGGACTAATGAAATCGTAGCATTGATACCAAAGTAAGATTACCTGGTTTCCAGGATATTAAAAAACTAATGATTCCTAATAATCATTGTTGGATCCAGTCTAAAATAATTTATTTTACAAAACCATAAAAGTCTAAACACTGGGTTGGTAGGTGTTTATAGAAAATCTGTTAATGATTCTAAGGACATTCTTTAGTAAGAATAACGTATTGCTTAAATTTATTGCTTATTTATGGTAAACTTAAGTGGTGTCTAGCGCTAGTGCTGGTGTCTAGGGTAATGACCCCCTCTGCCCTCATGTATTATAATGCTCATGGTGGAGGAAGACCCTGTGCCCAGTGCGATAGCAATTTCCGTGCAGTGCTCACCGTTCAGCCTCTTCCTTGATCGTCAAAAGTATATTTTTGCCCCAACCAGAGCTGAAAGTGCACGGTTGTCCCATATGCTTGTCTCCTCTGTATCTCACTTGTCTGTGGCTCAGTTTGAATTATTTCAAGACACAACTGTGGACCCTTTATCAGGTGAGGGCTATCTCAGCGATCCAGCTATGGTAAAACATCATTCTTGTTAGTTGCAGCATATTTGATTTTTTTAACAGCTGTTATACCTGTAGGGCTTGACTGCTGCAGGAGGAACATCTCTTTCTCAAAGTCTTGTCTGCAGAACAGCTGGCCGCCTCGCAGCACAAACTGTTCGCCTTTCTGCAGTGGTTGACAGCAGACGACGCATACAAAGCAGGGCAAGTGGTACACGTGTGCCTGGGCTCTCATCACCATCTCATGAGGCAGCAGTCTGTCTCCACAGCGGGAACACTTCACTCCAAACAGTCTGGAAATAAAACCATGTTGTTCTTTAGATCATCAAAAACATAAAATTTATCAAGGCAGAAACTCACACTGAGGTACGTATTTAATTTAAACTCAATTTGAATGTTTATGATTGAGTGGGACATAATGAAATGATACATATATAGAAATTTTATAACGTACAGTTACACAAATTTCTAACAGTTTGTATTTGTTTCAGATGAATGAAGATAACAAATTTATAATAACTTAATCTTAGACAGACAACAAAAGTGGACCAAAAACATAAGCATACGAAAAAGCCTTATAATGAAATTAAAACTCTCTTTTCTATCAATGCAGTAACCAACGCATATAGGTAAGTACGGTATTTAATTTAAGCTTAATTAGAATAATTTAGAGTGATTGTGACACAGAGAGAGATAACTCATGTATTTGTTTATATTATATACACTAACAATGTTTTCTACAAGTTCATATTTGTTTCAGATGATATGAAGATCAAGAAGTGTAAAACAATTGAAAAAGGAAATAAAAACCACCCAAAACACGTACAATAGAAGCCGTGGCTGTTTTTAAAGACGTAATGATCATGGAAAGCTGGGTCCAGTTTGGAATCGTCAAAAAACTTCTGACTTTTCTCATGATCAAATTGGTGACCTTCTACAAAGACCCCAATAACGAGGCTACACAGATCATCTCACTTCATTCTACACTCATCCTTCACCTATATTTGGGTTGAAATAATGAACACGTCTAGGTGGTGTCCTCATCTCAATTGATAATGATAATAGCTTGTGAGAATATCAAGATTTCATTGTGAAGAAGCAATATCTTTAAAGCTGTGAAAACAATGGTTCTATATCATATAACTTGTAGAATGAATGATTGATTTGAAACATGGATGGATGGAGATGAAGAAAATCAGACAAAAATCTAGTAAATTGATGAAAACAAAAGAAGAAAACCCAAAATAAATTGCAAGACATCATAAATGAGGACTTAATACTGATAGGAACACATCTACTGTAAGTGAAAGAGATGAAAAACTTGATTTAGATGGGAAATGATTTAATCTTAAGTGCTATAACATCTTGGAAACAAGTTTGTCTGAACAGGATGAATTAAAAATAGTGGTATATACAGTAGTACAAACCACAATCTAAAATGGTAGATTTAGTAAACCACAATAGTGAATACAGAATACTCAATTTTCTGTGGTATTATTCAAGGTTCCTTTAGCATTTAAATTCCAATATCCATTTGGTTAGAAAAATACAGTTTTTGCACAATTTAACATTTTTGCTTGATTATAGATGTTTCCCTCTCCAATTGCATGTTCATAGTTTGTTGCTCTTTGTTTCTTACCAACATGTATATAAATTCCTCCAAACAATTTCATCTTTTACAATGTGAAACAACTTTATACAAAATAAGCCACGGTTTGTAAAATGCTTATTGCTCATAGAAAACTGGGTCCAGTTTGAAATAAAAAATCTTCTGACCTTTCCCAGGATCAAATTGGTGACCTCCTAACAAAAAAACTTGATCGCACACAAATAAGTAATGTAATTTCAAAACCAAAGGTTCAATTCTAATTTCAAACTGAGGCCACAGGGAAACATTCAGTTGTGAAACGACAAATTCAGAGAGAACTTTGAGTTGAGTCACGTGCACGAATGGAGCCTTTGGTGAGGGGTGGTTGGGGGTCTGGGGGAGGAGGAGTGAGAGAGGGTGGGGGGGAGAGAGAGAGAGTCGGAGGAGGAGTAGAACCAATATCGCGCTGTTGTAGGTGATCTGTCTGAACGTCCGTGACAAATGCTACCGTCCTCGACTCTGGGTAAAAATACGGCGAACAAATGACAATACAGGCGACCTCTAGACACAGGAGTTAGTTTTGTTTAGTTCACACTTAATTTATATTACGTGTTGATATGGGTATTGGTGGTTTTAGAAGAGGACATTACATTTTTTTTTTTAGTTATGTCAGCATATTATATTGAACACGAAAATTTTAGAGGCTTGGACCGATTTCCAGTGTTAATATTTGTTTAGTCTTGCATAACAAATGCTAGACGTAGACGTACCTTCTGCATATTTTGCACAAGATCCCTTATCCCTTAAAACTGTATATTGACTGTAACATTTTGAAAACAACTTAATTGAGAAGGTGATACTATTAGTGGTATAGCGTTTTGTTATGAATACACTTTTTTTTATATTTATATTTTTTTTTTAAGCGTTCGTTGATTATCAATTAACGGGACCTTAAGCTTTTAAATGCGTGCTTTGTTGTATTTATTTATTTATTTTTGTTAATTTAGTTTAGCACACTGGTCTGTTTATACAATGTGCATACATAATGTCGACTTTGGATTACTATACAACTATTTACATGTCTCAGAGCTTGTAGAAAACGGTAATGAAACGCGAAAATCTTTTACAAAGACGTACACAATTTACTGTAAATAGAAAAGGTGATCAATGGTGCGTATGGTCCTAGTAAGGATACATCGGTTTAAGGAAAAATTTAAGGGTCTTTGTATCACTCTACAAGCTGAGAAAAAAATGTAAATAAATAGCCGGGAAACTATAGTCCTTGCTTGATAATAAAACAGCTGATTTCAGTCCGACACAGTCAGTATGGTAGCTGTTTTGATTATTCGACACTCTTAGTTCTCCTAAATCATCGGTTTTTTTTTATAACCTGAACTTTGATAACAATAAAGCTTTACAGGCCATCTCACTACATAGAAGTCGGAAACCCGGTTGATACAATTGCTGTTGAATGCATTCATGTAATAACTCTTAAAAGTGATTCGAATTTGATTCAATGTGAAACAGACGAGTACGAAGATGCAAACGTTGAATTTGTTTAATGTTCCTCGTTAAATTAAACCATTCGCTAGCTGTTTACCTACTGTTTGTTGACTGTTTACCACAAAAAATTCTAATTTAACTAAACTATTGTCCTTGATAAGTGTTATATTTATGATTGACTAGCTGTACCCGCGGGCTTCGCCCCGTTTAACTTCATAAGTATTCGCATGGCTCATTCACGTCCTGGTTGAAGTTCGTTCGCTACGCTCACTCACCTTTAGGTTGGAGCTCGTTCGCTGCGCTCACTTGCCTTCAGGTTAGCTCGTTCGCTACGCTAACTCGCCTCAAGGTTGAAGTTCGTTCGCTACGCTCACTCACCTTTTGGTTGGAAATTAGCTGTTGTCATAAATTAACAAAAAAATTAATAGTGCTGCACCCTGTTGGTAATCCTTGTAACTTTTATGCTGTTGAACATCATAGAACAGAACCAACTTGTTTAATTGAGACAGCTGTTAAGATTCATTAATTCCTTTTAAATATGAAAAATCATAAGATTAACATGGGGAACTACAGAGCCACTGGGGCGGAGCCCGAAAGGGTTTTTGAGATAAGAATATGCTTTAATGTTAATCGGGAATGTGAGCTATCAGCATGCCAAATTTCAGCCCAATCCGTCCAGTAGTTTATGCGTGATTGAGCAACAAACACACACACAAACACACACACAAACATACACACAAACATACACACAAACTCACAAACTTTCAGATTTATAATATTAGTAAGATATGTAGCAAAAATCGTCTGTACCGGCAACATACGCATTTAACATCAATAGCACATTTGAGAGAGCATCTTCAGAAGGTAAACAGATGTTATTGCATTTCCTGTCTATTGTTGCCTATGTTGATCACCTGAGACGGCAGTGTAAGAGGGGAGTTTTCCCTCCATATTAAGAACGTCTCGACGCCTCCTTTTTCTGCACACAACGGCCTATTCCGCGCCGCTCCCTTCTTTAATTTGATTTTTTATTTTCTTATAAACCTCCTTCTCGTATAAGATTTTAAACTCTCCCTAGTAAGGATGGTGATTCGAGGAGATGAATTTCTGTAGAGCGTGTAGAAGGTGTGCTAACGCGGAACAGTTTTGGATTTTGAATTGTCAAAGATAATACTGTGCAGTATTTGAAGAGGTCGTAAAATTTCGTAAAATTACAGATTTAAAAATATTATGATTATCATAACACCTATCTTTTAGTCACTACGACGGATATCAGAACATAAATGGTATGGATCATAAGAAAAAAAAATGACGTCACTGTCCCAAAAATATACAAATAATCGAATACCTGATCTGACAGTTCCATTTAAATATTCAAACCTGTTTAATATTGGTACAGTGACGTCTTTTGTTTATATTTATGATACCTACTGGATCTGTTCTAATATCCGTGGTCACTATCGATATTTAATATGATACATAGTTTGCCGAGTAAACTTTGCTCAACAAACAAAAATGTAGGTAGGTACAATAAAACAAGAAAATATAATTTATAGCCAAATCGGTCCTTATAAAATCCAAATCGTTATTTCCTGTTTCAGCTCCTATACTAGTGAATTGTGAAATTGATTATGTTATTAGTCCGGTAAACACATTTTGGAACAGCTACGTGCATATTTTTCGCTATACTAACCTATAAGAATGAAACGGAAACTGAACAAATCCGATATAAAACTACCACTAACTAAAGTACTAGCACTCACAACTAATAAACTCTAAGGGAGGTTATGTTTACGTTTATAGCCTTCATTGCCAATTATAATCAGCTGATGTCCAGTAAAAACTCATTACAGTACAGTAGTACGTAATGCACCCTCATATGATTAAGCTGGCGGCAAACATCTGTTTTCGGACTAAATCCTTTGCGTGGAAAGTTAGTCAAAACATAGTAGTGTGGTGAAATAGCTATTTAAATTACAAGTGTAGTAAGAGCGTTTTTACATCACGCAGGTGAAAGTTGTGCAACGAGCGAAGCGAGTTGCATAATTTACCTAAGTGATGTAAACACGCTCTTGCGTAACGTGTAACGTACAAGATTTTACCTGACCCGACAATATACAGGAGGTTACGAACAATATTTTTCATTACCCATTTCACTCATCCTTTAACAGTAAGGTTCATTTACAAACAAAAGCTAGGTTAGGAAAATTCTTCAAAACATAACAATAAAATTCAAGCACACAGCTGATTTCTAGCGTTAAACGTCGTTGGCTCCATAGAGTTATATTTTTTAAGTTATCCACTCAATGTTATTTAAATGGGTTTCATTACATCACCGAGTGAGTTTTTTGATACTTTACATCACTCGAGAAGTAAGGAAGTTGTATACATCACGCTTAGGATAGGGAAGTTTAACATGGCGGGTTAGGTAAACAAACTAACGTTCTTGGTAGTGCTCTTAATGAACATTGTTTGACTGACAAACTTTGAGAAAATCGGGGGAAAATAGACACCTGTTCCCTGTGGGGATGCTGCACCTATTGATGTTGATGACGACAAAATTAAGACATAATCCATGACATTGAATGAGAAACCTTTTGAGAATTGATTGTCATATACCTGTCGTAGTCCGGTTTGCAGTACAACTTGTTCGCTCGCCAGTAGCACGAATGATTCAGTAGGACTCCACACACGCTGCAAGCCAGACAGTGCTCGTGCCAACTCGCGTCGCCGACTCGCATCAGGAATCTGTCGTGTATCTTCTGTCCGCAGCCTTCACACATCTCGTACGTCTTCTCGCATTTCGGACCCACCAGCTCTGCAAGAAACATCCACATTAGAATAATGTCAAGTTGTGTCTTACTTCTCTGCATTTGTGAAGGGTGCTATTATGTAAATCTGTATAAAGGGAGCAATAGGAAAAATCTTTTTCTAAAGTCACCTGAAAAAGTGGACTTCCTTGCACTGATTATAGTACAGAAAGCTGCTAACTGCTGCATTTTCTGACTTTTTCCGCACTCTTTTTACTTTTGCCGCACTCCAGTATTACAACCAAACAACACAAAACGGCGTGCTTTTATTAGGCACGTAATACGTGTACACTTGAAAATAAATTGGCAACCCTTAAAGAAAGGAGGATATCATGTCTATGGTTAAATTTTTATACACGAGAATTTGCTGGTACTTTGGAAAAGATTCACAATTTTACCCATATTGTGGTTTCTTGTATGAATGGATTTAGTTTAACGGTTTAACTTCCTGTTATGATTAGTCCTTTTGACAGTAATAACCTATTATGTATAGATTATGCGTATTATTTTTATTATGAGTATTATGCTATAGATTTGAATGTAAGCCTAAATGGATTAAAATATTAAAATATGTGTATTTTCTGTAAGAGATATTTTGGAATAAAGATGTTTCTTTGTGAGTTTAACCTCTTTTTCATCCGATTTCCAAGTGAGAAAATGAAAAAATAACAAAACCTCTCCCAATCTTCCCCATTTTTCCCTACCAAATCGTCAAACACATTCACACGATTCAAAACCTCAACTCAACCAGAAACAAAAGCAACAATTCCCAAAATAAACCACTCACGCCCGCATTACAATTCCTTGACACGTTTTGCAACGCTGAACGCGTTTGTCCGTATTGTTGCACAATAAACAGTCGTCTCCAGATAAACATGTGGACGATATTAAGCTCTATATCACGTGGCGCAGATATTTCTCCCGTTTTAATAAGTCGAGATTTACGTTAATCTGCGCCGGCTGTGAGTGATGCGGCGATGTGTCTCTGCGCCGCTGCGCCGTCTGTGTTATTGTACATCCAGGGAGGGAGGTGGGACAGCCCCACGTTGCTCATAGGAATTGGCTTGTAAAAGTATTAAGTGTACTAATAATTCTAGTAGAAATAGTTATCGTTTATGCGTTACCCCGTTTAATAGATAATATATTCACAGAAATATTTTATCGATTAATATATCAATATATTTAGGCTACACCATTTAGACATCTCATCTACATGGACCAGCTGTCACCAATTTCTTATAAAAAAATAACGTAGTTGTATGAGCCAGTCACAGAATGTGCTAGTGTCTAAAATTCTATTTACCTTATTTTTTGTTGCTGACCCTCTTGATAGGTCATAACAGTTGCTATAGCAAATCATAAGACATTCCCCAAGTTTGACTTAGTAAAAAGATTTGTGTATTCGACAGAATTTAGTAATTTAGATCAGCGCGATCTGTTGGTGGCTCACATCAACTACAACGATTTTGATAAAAATCTGGCTACAAATTTAACATGGAGATGGAATGGCTACACTTAAATGGAAACTAAACTTAATCATTCAACCCTTTTCTCATGAAATATAATATGTAACTTTGTTTGACGTTAGCTGGGGTTTTTTCAAGTGCTTATTAATATACACGTCTATTGATGAGATGTGCATTTTAAATTCCGTATTGAAAAGCTCTATGCTCTAACTTAACCGTCTCTTTAATAATGTTTTTAATATACATAATTTTATAAAATGCAAAACCTTACGACTGTCCAATACTTGAAATTACTCTTACTTGAAATTAGCATTTTAGAGATCATCTCTGGATAAAAAAAACCATTCTTTTTTGGACGGTCAATTGTTGAATTTAGCAAATTGTTGACATTACACAGACTAGTTGCAAGAACAAGTAATTCAATACAAATAAACAAAAATTTTCTTGTGTAAATAGATGACAAGTCTCAGACTCTGTACAGACGATTTTAAGGTGATCTTGTATATTATGAGATAGAACCACAACTAAGGCCTATTTCAACCCAAAATATGAATATAATTTTTAGTATAAACATTTGTTACTGATAACTGACTAAGACCAGCTGTTTATTAGCCGGACCATCATTGAAAGCTATGTAATTAAGAGCAGCTAGGTTCAAATTCGAACCATTAAAAATTGTATGTAGGTTTATAGATCAAACCGGCGTCCTTCTAAATTTAGATAAGCATCATTACAACTTAGCTACCCATAAAGGATTATAGAAGTCAATAGCTAAACATATTTTCCAACTTTAAGCAACTACAACGTGGGTTCTACAGGGTGTTTCCAAATTGTCTGGACATATTTTGCGAACTTGTTCCTTGGGGACAAACATAAAATGCCATATAAGTACGGGTCTAAAATTATTTCTATTTGTCGGTCCGTTTATGATTTTTAAGAATTATTTTATCTTTTTTTGGAATTTCTCAAGATAGAAATTTCAAAATAGGTATAAATGTGTATTTTTGTAGATAAAAAGAGCTTACAAATTTTAGTCCTATTAAATTGTGTAACCGAATGTAGAAGAAAAGTACTGATAACTCGGTTGTTTGTCATCTGATTTTAACAAACAAGGTCTCATTTAATTTGGATTTAAATTTTCTATATTTTTGATTAGAAAAACAATGTTCTTAATATTTACGGTCTTAATTAAATTTGGTATTTAAGATTTTAAATGGCTGCCATATTGAAATGGCTTGAGATATTGGAACGAAAATTCGTAAGCTCTACCTACTAAAATACACATTATACCAATTTTGAAATTTGTATCTTGAAAAATGTCCAAGGTATAAAATAATTCTTAAAAATCACAAACAGACCGACAAACAGAAATCTAGGCATTTTAGACCCATACTTATACGATATTTTATATTTGTCTTAGCAAGGAGAAAGTCCACAAAATATGTCCAGACAATTTGGAAACACCCTGTATAAACAGTAGGAAGAAACAGGTGAATCTTACTTAAGTGAAACTTGATGGATCAGCACATGAATCCATCAGCGAAGTTTCTGTTTGAATCTTTCACTCAACTTACAACACAACACCTGGTTCACTTGTATCAATAAATTATTTAAGAGATGTTGGGGTGAGTATTGTGGGTAGTCAGACCCGACCTAATTATCACGTTTTGGAGGGATTCTGGGGGTTTTAAAAGGACATTAGCTAGATTATGCGCTTAGTGTTTACATAATTTAAACTCTTTATAATGCTTTGGGGTCGTAATGAAAATGAGGACTATTACTAGAATTTGTTCAACCTTTGTTCGTATGAGCGTTTGTTTGGTCGTTTTAGAATGAATACGCGAGAGTAACTGGATGAAGTAGTGAATTGAATTTGAATTTTTTTTTGTTTTAAAAGGTTTGTGAGTAATGTTTTTAATGATTATTAAGAGATACTCCAATTATTATTGGACTAGTATTAATATTTGTAATTTTTTTAGTTTTGAGGGAGGTTTTGTGGATTAAAGGAATTGAAAATCAAACAAAATACATTATTTTACCACTTTTTTACACTTCATAAAAATGTTTTAAAGGGAATCACGTTGAACAAGAGTATTATAACGAAATGTTCGTTAAATTATAAATGAGAAAAAACTCTTTGATATAAGTAATTCTAAAATTTGGTAGCTTGACAAGGTAATGTTTTAGTCGTTTACAGAAAGTGTTTTACAGTTAAATCCTCAACACTTTATTACATGTTTAATTGATATCCACAATTTTTATTTATTGGTAACGAAATAAATAAATTGCGTGAAAGTTGTGTAAATAATATTGTACTTTAAATACTGTAATGATTTCCCATAAACGTCCTTGTGAGGGATTATTTTTTGCCTAATGTTTATGTTGATAACGAAATAACATGTTTTTATTGTTATGTTAATACAAGAAAGTACTAATATTTATTCAACCTTTAAAAAGCTATGGATTTAGTTGCGGTTCAGTTTATTTTAAACTAAAATGTCAATGATGGATTTCAATAAGTATTTATACTCGTATTCCTATTTTCTTTAGGTGTTGTCTTCCGGATTACTTAACAATTACTAATCTAGAGGTTGAATACCTTGTTGCCAACGTAATCTTCGGCAGTCATGGCTACACTAAGTGTCGAAACCTTAAGTCTTATGGTGTCATTGTCAAGCCTTGACGTGGTTGTTGCTCCTAGGAGGTCGTCATAAAGTCTCCAAAACACATAAAAGAGATGAAAAATAACAAAAACGAACATTACGTTGGCAACAACATATTCCTAATGATATGTACGTGTTTTTAAACCACTTAAATATACAACTATAAGGTCGCAACGCTGCTCTGCTCAGTTCATAATATTGACTGCGCCTTCAGTCTGTGCGATGCATTACATATACTGCATCTAGAGTGCCTGTCTTACGCCGTTGATTTATTGTTACAAAATAAAAGTTGTTTCGCATAATCAAATCGTTGGACACAATTTTTGGAATGCAAACTAGCGTTGATTCAATTATTCTAGTAAGCTATGACAAAAAATCTTTATATTGTAGGTACTTAAAAATTTGAGTCTCCGAAAAATATTCGTTTTCGTTAACATTTTCCTATGTGTGGTGAGTTTTCACTGTTACTAATTTCAGTTTTTTTATGCAGAAGTTTTAACATAAACACAATTGCTCAAACGTATAACCTTTCAATATTTTAGTCTCTTGGTAGCCCATTCGTACTAAATAGGCTCTGGAAGCACTGCAAACACATTTGAGAAAAAATATTGTTTAAATAGAATTGAGGCAACTACAAAATTATATCAACATTTCAATTAGGGCTAATTATATTTTAAGAAAACTGTCTTTGCTATTAGGGAATATTTTTAATCTTAATTTCTAACCTATAATACAGTACTTCTTCTTTGGTTTATTGCTTATAGACATTCATTATAAATTCACATTTTACTTTTTTTACAGTTTGTGAAAAATAATCAAATAAATTTGGTCGAAAATCCATCCACGACATAAAATGGGCGTTTTGATAATACTTGTTAGGAGAATAAGTGTTAATTGACGAGTTAGGAGATACTGATGTACAACATTATGTATTAGACTGACAATAAAGTTCTTGATTCTTGAAAAAAAAAAAAAAAAAAAAAACGTAATCAGACATAAAATACAATTCTAAACTTCGGATTTTATAATTTGGCAATAATTCTACTTGCAGTACCCAAAGTTGATAGTGTGTTTACAATGCTAATAGAACCTTTGAATAACTGTATTTATCTATTTCATATGAATACATACATTTTTACAAGTTCATATTTTCAGATGACATCTTACAACATGTAACAATTCATTTTCTTGACATCTAATCCGCCAACGATAACAATTTTAATAAACATTTTGAAACAATCACTTCAGTAATGAAACAATAATCACAGAACATATGCTAAATCTTAAGCATAAAGAATTTTTTAAATGGAAATAGGCAGAATTTATCCTACCAGAACCGCTAACTCGTCCATCCTTGTGTTTACAGGCTACTCTTGAGCATTGTTGGGACAGCTGATTGGTTAATCAGAACAGCTGATGGTCATTGTTGTGATCTTCACAATCCAAACACAAGAATCTTTTAAAACTTTTGGCACATTTTATCTCCGATTACAAACATATTTAGCAAGATATTTCAATAGGCATTGTATGGGTAGAAGCTAATGCTGGATCTAATGTAGAGGGGCTGTTGTTGTGTACACATTTCTCTCCCGTTTTTAATTGGAACTGTGTGGTCCATTGCTATGCTAAATTGGCGCAGTCCTTTCCCATAAGACGATAGGTTAACGACTAAGAAGATGGCAATTCATCGCGCCCAGTCGTTTCCAAAACCGATAGTTACATCAACACATTTTGAAATTCCCAAACATCGGGTGCTGTGGGGGTTGCAAGTTGACTCAATATACCGTACTATTTATTCCCCCATGTATTTGATCACCCTGCAATAAAATCTTAAGTCTCTATTATTTGTTTTGATGCCCGATAACATATTGAGTCTGGTAATGTTGACTTAATGCTCCTTTCCAGTTTGAAAATGCACGTTACAATCAGAAGTTTATCGGTTATTTTAATACCAGAATACGTACAATTATATGTGGTCGTCAAAGTAAAATAGAAACAGTGGACATCAACATATTTCATTGTAGCAGGTCAGGGCGCCGGTTAACCTTATTTTAATTGTCTTCATATGATTCATAAGGACGATTATAAGGATAAAATCATAGACTCTGGGATACTGAAGTTAACACCAACAGCATCGACATATTGCAGCTAAATCTTCGTTGATAAAGAACTTTGTTGAATAAGCCACTCACAGAAATTAAGTACAATTACCAAGCTATGTTTTCTCCATTAGTGTGAAATTTTACTTTCAGTCTCTTATTTAAACAATTGGGGGTTTCTGATTAAAATCAGCCGAAAATGTCCATCTGCGCAATGTGTTGATGTCTCCAATTAATTAACGTTTATTTTCATAGTTAAACTGGCTAAAATTTTAACATGAGTGTGGAATCTGTAGCTCCTTATGCGGTAAAAGATAACATTAAAGGGGGTGTTAGTGTTTACGATCTTTGATTTCATACTGGTTTCAACCCATACAAGTAGCAACCTTCTATATCCAAACAAATCTACAGAAAAATCTTAAAATGTACAAATACCTTGGCCGGGGTGGGTCGGCACCATATTGCACGGGATAAACTCCAGCATTTCCAGGCAGCGCACACACTGAACCACAACGGCACACTGGTGGTGGGCCGACGCTGCGTCGGGCGTCGCGGCGACTCCTCCGCGCGTCAAGTAGTCCCTCACCCCATTGGCTGGCGGGGCCACGCCCCCTCTCCCGCAATGGCAGTCTACTGACCCCAGACAGACGGAGCTCTTTGCTTCAAGACTGAGGCCCCGTCATGCTCGACCGAGCGTGAATTTTAAATCCCCATATCACTGTTTGCTCATAACTTATTACGTGAACTCGACTGGAAGTGTAACCAGGCTTTGAGGGCGAAGGGGTTTAGGTCGGGCCGCGTTTGGGGAAAAATTCCAATATGTCTTGATGGTCCGCGTGGGGTTGAAGAGGCTTGCAAGGTTGGGCTGGACTGTGTTGCGGTGAAATGTTAGTTTACATGTTCCATAATTAAATGGACTAATGCATCTTGATTTGGTTAAGTAATTGAATTACTCATCTAAATTCGTTTGTTCCTAGAAATCGTGTTGAGGATATTTTGAACTCTATTAGCACTTATTTTGAGGTAATAGTGCTCTCCGCGTAATTAAAAGGTCGCCGGTTGGATTTTGGAAAATAAACACATTTTGATGGTTCGAAACTGGACCCAGCTTTGTTCATTAGGCTTTTAGTAATGACTAGCTGTGTACCCGTTCTACGCACGGGGATCTTATAATATTCAGTTGAAACCTTCTTATATAACGAACAGCAGTTGGTTTGCATATTTTAAGATATGCTGGCCAAACTATTATACATAGCTTCATTTTATGTTGTTTTTTGTTGTTCCGGATCGGTATGACAATCAATAAAAGGTTAAATTACCTCTGTGTCTGCCGGTCGATCCTATAACGGTAGGCTTACTTTTATTTTTACTATCTGATCTCGTTTGCATGGCTCAATCACGTCCTGGTTGAAGTTCGTTCGCTACGCTCACTCACCTGTATGTTGGAGCTCGTTCGCTGCGCTCACTTTCCTTCAGGTTAGCTCGTTCGCTACGCTCACTTGCCTTCAGGTTAGCTCGTTCGCTACGCTCACTCGCCTCCAGGTTGCAAATTAGCTGTTGTCATAAATGTAAAAGAAATAATAGTGCTAGTGCTGCACCCTGTTGGTAATCCTTGTAACTTTAATGCTATTGAACATCACAGAACAGAACCAACTTGTTTAATTGAAACAGCTGTTAAGATTCAATAATTTCATTTCTCATAAGGTTAACATGGGCTTCCAGAAATTCCACGTCAAAAATCGACAAAAACTTGATTTTCAAGGGTTTACTGTTAAATATCTAACTGTCTCATATTCGATGAAATACGTCTAAAACCATCTCATATATGTATAGTATTTGGAAAATAAGTTTCAGGCGGGACAGTGCTATAGTTATTGAGGAGTAGTTGTAATAAAGTGCGTATTTTAGCGTTACCAAGAGAATGACAGATAGACAGACAGACAGACAGACAGACAGACAGACAGAAATTGAGATAAGGTTTGATTCGGTTTCTCTGACCTATGAAATGTAAAAATAACCAAAAAGTTCATTATTCTAAGCAATGTACAGACAAAACTCTAATTTTATTTATATAGATACTAATGAAACAGCTGACTAGTTAGTCAGCAACAAAGCAACTCAAGGCATCTCGCTTCATTCTATAGTCATCTTTCACTTATATTTGGGGTAAAATATGCACCTAGTTGGCGCCCCCATTTTAATTAGTAATATTTTACTGATAACATTCTGAAGATATGTAAATGTGAAGCAAGTGGAAAATGTCTAATGTCCATCCTACTTTACTAACTAGCAAGGCTTGCTGGCTTTGTGAAAGAGTTTGATGGTAGTCCAACTTGATTTCTTAAACAGGTGGACTATCTCTGTAAAATAGAAGTATTTTGAAACTATTACAAACATCCTTTATGGAAAATAATCAATCACAATATAAACACAAAATAGTTGGGATGTATATTAGTTGATTGGTACGTAGTTTTCAGAATAAGTGCAGGTTAAAGTATTGGGTGTTTAAATCGGTGACGAGACGAATAATCAGTATTCGGATGTGGAACATAATTTTCAACTATGGCAAACCCATTCAATAAGTGTTGTCTTTCAGTTTTCCTGGAGAATTTGTTGGTCTGCAAACGTTTACACAAGTGAGGCAGTGCTTTAATGTCTTAATACCTCGGTTTAGCTCGGTAAATACAATGATTTTTACATAATTACACTGGGACATTAGAGCTTTCAATTGATTTTTGTTACATTTATGATGGTAAATAAATATGCAATGAAGCTATTCAGATTTTACATAAACACGTCACAACTTAATGTACAATTTTATAATACAAATTACGTCTGAAAATTACATATAAAAGACTTGGTACCTTTTAAAAATCCTCCGTAGAGAATATAAATTTATGTTAAAATATTCGATCGGTTTTTGTGAATACAATTTACCCTATATTATCCCAGGTGGTGTTTGATATTAAAGAATATCGGCTTCCTTCAATAACAAATCCTCTTCTTCGGAAACGCACAAAGACATTCGGGAATTTTAAGGTAAACAAATTATATAAACGTGTGTCACAATTATCAACTATAGAAAAAGTGTTACTGAAATAAATTAGTAAGAAAGTTATAACCTGTTTACAATTTCTTTATTTTATTTTTATTTTATTTTATTTTATTTCCAACGGCAGCAGCCAATTTACAAAGATAAACATGATGGTTGAATACAACAAAATAGGTAAGCAAAATTTGATGATAAATATAAGTTAACAAAGATATAACAGGTTATAAATATCCAAAGCGTAACAACAACAAAAAAAAAAAAAAAATAAGATTAACAAACAACAATAAATACTCTAACATAGCAACAACAGAAAATAAAGATTAACAAACAACAATAAATTAATTACTAGTCTTTCCCAGAAAGAAGAAGAGAGGAGGCCTGCCGACGAACCTGCTGAAGTCCATCGAAAAACAGGTCACACCCAGACGCAACTCGATTTCCCAGGCGAGTAAACCTTGCGAAAGGACTGTTGAAGTCGAAGTTGGTTGAGTGGTATCTTCGACCCAGCAGATCTCGAGATCTTGTGTTTGTAGGCACTCTGAGGTCGATTTCAGCTAGGAGATCTGGACAGTTCATGTGACCATTGACTATCTTCCAGAGAAGAATAACATCAGCCACGTCACGTCGCAGGGCAAGAGGTGACAAGTTCAGATTGCTGGACAGTTCCTCCACAGGCACATCAAGATAGGCAAAACCCAGCCGGACACCAACCAAACGAAGAAAACGCCTTTGTAGAGCCTCCAGTCTCGTCCTATTGCCAACAGTGTAAGGCGACCACACGGGACTTGCATATTCCACTAGCTGTCTCACAAGGGAACAATACAGAGAGCGAAGAGCAGAAGGGTTGTCGATGCCTCTGGAGAATCTTGCTATGAAACCAAGCATCTTGTTTGCTTTGTTACTGATGTGATCTATATGCCCAGAAAATCCCATGTCGCTGGAAAAAATAACGCCTAGGTCTTTTATACACTGGGACCGTGGAATGGATGTACCAGAAATGGAGTATACGTACATGACTGGGGATTTGATGCGGTGATAGGTTATACAAGAGCACTTACTGGGATTTACAGACATGTTATTCCTGACACACCAATCCTCAATTTCAGAAAGGCTATTTTGAATTTCTTGAGAGTCTTCTGGTGTAGACACAGTAGTGAAAATCTTCAGGTCGTCAGCAAATTGTAAGGCCTTTACAGTTAAATTGTCTAGTAGGTCATTGACAAAAACATTGAAGAGGCAAGGTCCCAGCAAAGAACCTTGTGGAACTCCTGAAGAAGGTGAGAACTGAGTGGAAGTGGTAGAACCAATCCTCACGACAAGAGAACGTTTTTGAAGATAACTAGAAATCCATGACAAAAGAGGTTCAGCCACTCCGTAGCCCAGCAACTTAGACACAAGAATTGTATGGTCGACCTTGTCGAAGGCTTTTGCCATATCAATGTAGGCTGCATCAACTTGGTAGTTCTTGCGAAAGGCAGACAAGACATATTCTTGAAAGAGCAGGAGATTGGAGACAGTAGACTTGCCTTTCATAAAGCCATGTTGGGAAGGATGGATTATTTTGGATAGAAAAGGATTCAGTCTATCTACCACGATACTTTCAAAGACTTTGCCAATTGCCGGCAGAATAGTGATTGGACGGTAGTTCCGTATGTCGCTGGGATCATTTGCTTTATGTAAAGGAATGATAAAGCCCGACTTTAAAGAGCTAGGGAAGATTCCTTTGTTAAGTGATTCGTTGAACAACACTGTGAGGGGTTCAGCTAAGAGAGATCGGCAGTGATGAAGCATAGATGGCGGTATATTGTCAATTCCAGCTCCCTTTGTAGTGTCCAGATTCTTAAGCTTGCTGAGAACTTCCTCAGTTGAGGTTGTTATGACACAGAGAGAATCGAAGACGGGATAGCTAAAGCTAGGTGAAACTCGTGACGATGGAGAGTAGACCGAGTTGAAATAACTGGAAAACAGCTGACATATGCTTGTTGTGTCACTGGCTACTTCGTCATCCAAATGCAGACTAGACGGCATGTCAGGAGTATTTCTTTGAGCCTTAACTAGTCCCCAGAAAGCTCGTGGATTAGAATATATGTTTGATTGAACATTGGATAAATATCGAATGTGGCATCTTTAATTAACTTGTGAAATGTTTGCTTTTGATTTCGAGTTTGTTACGAGTTTGAGTGTTGTTTTAGCTATTAAAACAGCGTAGTAAAACCTTTTAAACTGTAACAAAACAATGGATTCTATTTATTTTTATAATTTAAAAAGACAGATATTCATTGTCACAAACAAATACAGAATTCACTAACAAAGTCTTTAAACAGCTCAGTATTTAGTTAATACTCTGCAATCTTAACATTCGTCAATTCTGTTACATTTAATTTTTTTCTAACGAATTCGTTTGCATTTTAACAGAGGTCTATGTCGTTTTTAAGAGTTTTAGGATAAATTTAAA